GGTTCCCGAGCACTACAGGGGGTCACCCCCTTTCCATCCCTCTTCTCAGCACTGGGATCCCAGCTCCCACCTCCAGGAGGGGTCGCCCTGAAGAAGCCAGACTCCGGGGTCAGATGAGGCCTCAGCGTCCTGCTGCGCCAGTAAAGGACGCGCCTTTACAGGGGACAGTGGGCAGACTGTGGCTCGCGGCTCCCAGCCCAGAGGGCGGAGGAGACGTGGCAAGGGAAAGCTAGTGGTCAGCGCCAGCAGCCCACACCCGGGCAGGTCCAGGGAACTGGCCCCTCCAGGAGGCTCCAGCCTAAACACAAGGGGTGGGGATGCAAACCCAGAGTGGGAAAGGAGGGGTTCCCCCCACAGGGGTTATGAGCCCCGCCAGGCAGAAAGGGGCTGACCTGAGAGACCTGAGAGCCGGGTCTGGGAGGGGTAGCAGGTCTGGAAGGAGCCAACCGTGGCCTGACACCCTCGTGGGGAGCCCAAACCCTGAGCTGCCAGCAACAGCTAAGTGCTCACTGCTGTTTTTTTTTTTTTTTAAATACTCTGCCTTTTTGAGAGAAGGCAAGCTGGAATAGAGAAGGGGTCACTAAGACAATGACGGTTGGAGGGATCGATTGGGATGGGAGATGTGCGCTGAAAGTAGATAACGGACCAAACATGATGGCCTCTCAGTGCCTGTATTGCAAACCATAATGCCCAAAAGTAGAGAGAGAATATGGGGGAATTTGTCTGCCAGGGAGGCAGGGGGAGGGTGAGGAAGGGGGGGTATACTGGGGATATTGGTGCTGGGGAATGTGCACTGGTGGAGGGATGGGTGTTCGATCACTGTACGACTGAAACTCAAACATGAAAGCTTGTAACTGAATCTCACGGTGACTCAATAAAATAAAATTTATTTTTGCTTTTCAGGTCACACCATGCGATGCACAGGGGTTACTCCTGGCTCTGCACTCAGGACTTACTCCTGGCGGTGCTCAGGGGGCCAAATGGGATGCTGGGAATCGAACCCAGGTCGGCCGCGTGCAAGGCAAACGCCCTATGACTGAAACTCAAACATAAAAGCTTGTAGCTGTATCTCACGGTGATTCAATTAAATAAATAAATAAACAAACAAAACAACTCTGCCTTTTCTCTTCCTTCCCAAGAAAACTTGGGGCTCTGCAGTGCTAGGAAAGGCCTCGGCTGGGCCCAGGTGCACCCTCAGGCCACGTCTGTCTCATGCTCTCCCTCGGCGTGAAGACCCAGGGCCCTTTTCTCACTGTACACCCTCAGCTGGGTACCCCACAAGTATCCCGGAAAGGGCGTGAATAGGCACAAGCGTCCCCTCACTGTCTGGGCACAAAGCCAGACCCTGAAGCCGCTCCGGGGCCAGTGCTCGGGACCATCCTGCCTGAGCATCTGCTCTCACACTAAGAAAAACCTCACTGTTCCTCGGGTGCTCCTGGGCTTTTTTTCTGGGATGCCAAAACCACACATGCACTGATCATCCCGAGTGAGAGTCCCACGGGGAAGGCATTTGCCTTGCATGCACGCGGCTGACCCAGGTTCCATTTCCGGCATCCCATAGGGTCCCCTGAGCACCACCAGGAGTAATTCCTGAGTGCAGAGCCAGGAGGAACCCTTGAGTATTGCCAAGTGTGACCCAAAAGAAAAACACAAAAGAACGTACTGGGCTGGGGAGGGGGGTGAGGGGGTGGGAAGGGGAGAGACTCCAAACCAGGGCCGGCGGTTCAAAGGCTGGGTAATGCCCTGATGCTCGGCCCTGCAGTTCTGGGGTCCCCCAGGCCACCAGCAGGGCTCAGGGGTCCCCAGGGCTGCACCTACCATGCTTCAGGAACTCTCCGGGCCGGGGATTAAACCAGGTTGGTCATGTGCCGGATAAGCTCTCCGGCCCTTAAGAAAAATGGTAGCATGGTAGCACTGTCTTCCCATTGTTCATGGATTTGCTCGAGTGGGCACCAGTAACGTCTCCACTGTTCCACAGTGAGACTTGTTGTTACTGTGTTTGGCATATTGAACACGTCACGGGGAGTTTGCCAGGCTCTGCCGTGGGGGCGGGATACTCTTGGTAGCTTGCCGGGCTCTCCGAGAGGGGCGGAGGAATTGAACCCGGGTTGGCTGCGTGCAAGGCACGCCCTACCCGCTGTGCTATCGCTTCAGCCCAAGGAAAGTGGTAAGTTCCCCACCCCCCCGCCCCCAAGGTTCACAGTCCATTCCAGCGCCCCCATGAGAGCTGAGAGGGAGTTTCGGAATCTGGGTTCTGGGGAATGATGAGCAGCAGAAAGACCTTCGTGCCGTGTCTGGAAACTGGAGCGTCGGTCATCAGAGGCAGCCCAGTGGAGTGGGGCGCGGGCCTGGCCCGGGTTCAGGCCCTGGGAGCCAGCCCTGAGCCAGGATGGCAGAGCCAGGTAAGCCCCCCACGCTGACCACCCCTTCCCTTCCAGGCTTCTTGTTCTGGCCAGGAGGAGAGGAAGGCTGTGTCCGTGTGCTGAGTTGGGGACACTGCCCGTTCTCTAGGATGGGCAACAGGTAAAGAAACAGCTTGAAGCCACGCCCGGTTTCCTGCGGCCTCCAAGGAAAAGGCGAGCAGGTGAGCTGAGTCTGGGCGTGGAGGCGCAGCGGGTGCATCTGGCCCGTGCACTCCCCTATGCCCAGGGGCTGGGGCCTCTGGAACATCCCAGAACCTGCAGTTCCCTTTCGGAGCCCGACCCAGCTCTGCCTGCCTTGAGGCACTCACGTCCTGGAGGAAAGCCCCTCTCTGGAGATGGAGGGGCTTCAGCAGGGGTTCAGGGGAGCATTCGCACCAGGCACGCCTGGGCTCGACCACCAGAGGGGCTTCCCGACAGGGCTGACCTGGGACCCCCACGCGGGTGGGCAGAGTGGGGCCTGGGCTGCCCGCCTGGGAGGGCCCGCCGGTGGGTTCCCTGTCGTGGGGATCAGGCCCTGCCTGGAAGATCGAAGCTCTGGCACAGGCATGACCCTGACGGGGACCCCTGAGTGAGGAGACACTCAGCCACCCCGGGGTGCGCACTGTGACGAACTCCGAGGGGGGCTGTTCCCATCACTCTTGCAAGGGTCTGGGCCACCACCACTCGCTTGCATTTCTCTCGTCCCCCACCAGGTGGCGCCGCCCCCCCTCCTGGCACCTTCAGGGGTGGGGCCGGCTGGCGCAGGGGGCAACAGCGCAATGCACAGCCCCACCCCCAAATTTAGCCCCCCAAATTTCAAGGGGGGAAAAACAGGATCTCGGGACTCCGAGCTCCCTGTGGTGCCTGGAGTCTGCCCGAGGGTCTCCGCTCCGCCCTCCTGAGGCGGGCTGCAGGCTGATTCTCACCATCCTGTGCTCGGTTTGCGGGTGCGTGTCAGGCTGGGTACACCGGCTCCCGGGGGACACCCCACTTCACCCCTGCCCCCCAAACCCTAGACAGGGATGGGCCAGCACCCCACACTCCTTCCCCCACACCGCGACTCATCGTCTCTGAGGACGGATGAGTGCCGATGGGGCTGGTGGGTGGGTGGGGGGACGGGCGGACCCTCGGCCACCGCCGCCGCCAGGGGCGCCCTTTGTCCCCAGGAAGGGCTGGAAGGGGCAGCCTGCCGGGGCCAGCAGCGGGTGCTGAGAACTAGGCGCTCCCTGCGAGGAAAGACCGTTCCACCGTGGCTTCCGTCTCGGGGGTCCCCCTGTGTCCCCTGCTTGCAGAGAGCACTCTCCGGAGGCTGCCTGAGGACCCAGCCACGGCCGACTCCCACTCCAGCCCCCGGCCCGACATTACCCGTGTCCTGTGGCCGACCCCCACGGCTGCCTCAGCAGAACCAGCATCCTCTCTCTGCGGGCGGGGGGCTCATCTTGGGTCCCGTCCCATCACCCCGCGCGCCGTGAGTCCCTCCTGAACCACGCCAACTCCTATGGATGCGCCTGCTGCTGGCCCCAGCACCACGCCCTGCCCCTCGGGACACTGGCCCCTGCTCGCCTGCCCCCACAACTCAGCACGGTCGGCCGGAGTAGGGGAGCCCCGGGGCTGATGTGAGTGGGGCGACAGGACTGCGGGGAGGGCAGGGCACACGCCTTGGATGTAGCCACCTGGGCCCCATCCCCGCATCCCGTACGGGTCCGAGCGCCTCCAGGAGTGATTCCTGCAGAGCCAGGAGGAACGCCTGAGAAGCACAGGGTGTGGCCCAGACAACAAAGAAAAAGGGGGGCATGTGTGTGAAAATGCGCTGGAGAGAGAGCAGCCGCCCTCCTTGGGCCGGTGCCCGCCGAGCAGCCCACCGGGACCACAAAGCCGAAGAGGCAGGTGGGGCCGGGCAGCCCTCAGTCAAGCCCACGGAAACAGTGTGGGGCCGGGGATGGGGCCGCCACGGGGAGGGGACGAGATAGGGCCCGGGAGCAGCCGGGTGCTTCCCGCGTGAGGCTGCGCAGAGCTGCTGGCCCGACAGGGAAGGAAGGAGGTCTCAGAGGAGGGGGCGGTCCTCAGACAGGGGGTCTCAGAAGGGGCCACTCCCACCCGGCCCCCCGCCCGCCCTCTCGCCAACCTGCCAATGAAGCGCAGTCAGTCCTTAGGCTGTTTTTCACTTTTTTATTGCTGTTAATTCAAGGAAAAAATGTTGCATAAAATCCAATCTGTTCTAGAAATATAAGTGGCCTTTCCAGTACATAACATTTCAAATATCAAAGTATATGGTAAACATACAAGTAAGGAGAAGGTAACACACCTCCTATGTACAGTACAGGATTTGAAATCATAAAAGAAGCTCCGTAAAGCACAACTGGCAAGTGACTCACAAGGCGGCCCAGACGCGGCTGATCCGACTCGCACCCCAACGACTCGACTGCAGCTCAACGATTCATTTAATAATGTGGTCCAAAAATACCCAGATCAAATAAAATATATGTCATCAAAATAATCTCCGTTACTCGAACTCTTTTTCTTTTTAAATTAAAGCTCTCGCCTACCCCTCGCCACCCCCCTCCCGCGTCCTCCCCTTTCCCCACCCCCGAAGGAAGGTTCAGAATGTACACGGGTGCTGTAAATAGAAACACTACCTAGAAGCAGGAGAGGAAGCGTCTTCCCTCTTCAAGTTTTCCCTTCTGCCTAAACCATCTGCCGGGCTCCTGGGCCGGAGCAACCGAGGCGGCCCCGGCCGGGGGCAGAGCAAGGCCGCCGACCCCTCCCCGCCACGGGCAGCAGCGGCCACACGGCGCCCGCCAGCACGCTCCCCTTCCAGGCAACCTCAGTGCACTTTAGGAAATCAAAATCACCTGGAAGCAATTCAGGACACGGATGGGCTCTCGGTCTCCCCAAACAGCAGCATTAACTGAGTGGCACGGACACACACATGATTAACACCGGGGCGCCCGCGGCGGCCTCGGGAGCGAGCCGAGGCCGGGTTCAAGCCAGCAGCTGCCCGTCTGCCTGCGCACCGCCCTGCACCGCACACTCGCGACACGTAACACTGGACCGGGGACGGGGGGGGGGGGGGGCGCTCGGGGCGGCCTTTGGGCGCCACCGAGGGGAACAGTTGTGCGGTTGCTTCACTCCGTCTCTCTCTCGGAAGCGACAGGCCAGGTAAGGCTGATACAAGGTTTTCCTCTAAGAAAAAGCTTTGTCCACTTGGTTCTGGCGTTTTCCCGGGTTCACCCGGCTTCCCCGGGCCTCTCCCACGAGGCGCCCAGGTCTGCGGGGAGGTGCCTCTCTCCCTCAGAGCCGGGGAGACTCGGCCCCGTTTCAGGCGCAGGGCAGTGGGGGGAGGGGGTCAGACGGGCCCAGAAAGGGGCAAGGGTGGGCTGGAGAGTGAGGGGCAGGGCCGAAGGGCGGAAGCCGCCCAGGGAGCAATGTCTCGCTTCTCCAAAACCACGCAAACGCTCACCAGTGTTGTCAAAAAAACAAAAACAAAAACAGTCAAATACACAGTTTTAAAGATTCGGTAAACATTGCACACAGCAAGTAGTCAGTGTAAAAGAAGCACCCCCCCGCGCGTGCCTCTGGACAGTGCGTCTGGGTGTCCGAATCACACGTGTCAGACAGAGAAGCCTGCGGCGAACCCGGCGACGGGAGGCTCAGAGACAAAACCCATGCATTCCTTCGGTTCGGACATCCGCACCCGAGACGCCGACAGCCAGTCCCCACCGCCGCGGGCTGGGGCGCGCAGAGACGCAGGACACGGGACACGCCTCCTGTCCTCTCCGCCCTGCTCTGCCCGCCTGCCCGCGCGCGCGGCCGTGCCCAGGAGACAAGCGTCCCTCGCTCGCTTCAGTCGGCAGGGTCCAGCGTGTCATTGGAAGGGGGGAGGGGAGGAGCGTAGCTCAGCCGGTAAGCGCCTAAAACGGGAGAGACAGAGGCCGAGTCACGGGGCGGCAGGGGCCGTGCCCGCCAGGCCTCGGGCGCGTGCTGGAAGCTCTGGGCTTCCGGCCTCGCCTGCGCGATCTATCCACCTCCGTCTTCCTGCCAAAGTGCCAAGTTCGCCGCCCGCGCGGGGACAGCTCTCTGGGGGAGACCCGGCGGAAGGCCGAGAGCCGGGACCGGCCTCGCTCCAGTCGCTCCTGCCTGGGGCCGTGACTCTCCGCGCCCTCTAGCCCCCCTCTCCTTCCAAACCTGCGCCCCTGCCCCCCTCCAGCCAGCGCAGGGGCACCTCTCCGGACGCAGGAAGGCGGAGCCTGAGGCCGGGTGACAAGCCGATGGCCCAGCGGCCCCGGCCTCTGACCTCAGACTCCTCGATCGACAGACTCAAAGTGCCGCAGGCGAGAGACCCGTTGCTGCACCGCCGCGTGCCGGGTGTCCCGGCCGGCACGGAGCTGCGCTCCTCCCGGGGCCCGCACCGGGGCCCCTCGCGGGGGCCCTAGAACCCGGTCCTGGGGGCGCTGTCGGGGTTACCTGGCTGGCCGGCCTCCATGGGCGCCTGCTTGCACTCCTGCGCGTAGTGGCCGCTCAGCCCGCAGTTGTAGCACGACACGTTCCCGTTCTTCTTGGCGCCCGAGCCGCTCGAGCCGGCCACCACGCCGGGCGCGGGGTACACGGGGTAGAAGCGGCCGAAGCCCGCCGGCAGCTGCTGCAGGCCGTAGCTGGCCTGGCCGCCCAGCGGGTCGGGCACCAGCCCGTTGGCGTACGGAGTCTGAGGCAGGAAGAAAGGGAGCTGGCTGCCGCTGCTCTGGGGGGCCTGGCTGAGGTAGCTGCCATTGCAGACGGAGGGCAGGGTGAAGAAGGGCGACACCCGGTACACGGGCCCGGGCACGGCGGGCGGGTAGTAGTAGCTGCCGAGCTGGGGGCTGCCGCCGGCGGCGCAGCTGCACCTGCGCCCGCAGGAGCCGCAGGGCCCCGAGCCCGGCTGCTGGGGCGGCAGCAGCGTCCCGTTGGCGTTGGAGCTGCCCGCGGCGCTGAGGAAGGTGCTGTCGCTCTGCGCCGTGCTGTGGGTCAGCGCGGGGCTGGGGCTGGGGGCGGGGCCCGGGGTGTGGGTGGGCACCGCGGGGCTCAGGCCCGCAGCGGGCTGGGAGGCGGGCAGCGTGTAGGAGGCGGCCGGGGCCGCCGCCGGGAGGACGACCTTCACGCCCGCCGCCCCCTCCACCTGAGGCACCATCTGAGGGAGTCCGACGACCTGGGACGCGGGCTTGGGGTCCGCGGCGGCCACAGGCGAGCCCGGGAAGCTGGCGGGGCCGTGGACCGGGAGGAAGGCAGTGTTCGGGGAGCCCAGGCTCCCGGAGGGCGGCGGCGGGCCGGGCCCGGCACAGCTCTCGGGAGACCCCTGCGGGGCCAGCTTCAGCCTCTGGATGGTCAGGTGCAAAGCGGGGGCGCTGCCGTGCGGGAGGAAGGGGGCGGGCAGGGACAGGGGGGACGCCAGCAGTTCCAGGTGCTTGTCCGAGTCCCCCGGGGCAGCAGCGGGCGCGAGGAGCCCCGAGGGGGCCGAGTTCACAGACTCCCTGACGGCAGACAGCGCCCCGGGGCTCGGCACCAGCACGCCCAGGGCTTTGCCGTCGGCAGACTTGGGGGGAGGAAGCACCACGGGGGACTTGGGGGCACCGTTGTGCACGACACAGTGGAGGGTCGGCATGAAGATGTGCTGGTACTTGGGCGTGGGCAGGGGCTCCTCGAGCAGGCCGCCGCCGTCGCCTCCCAGGGGAGCCACGGGCACCGGGGCCTTGGCGCCGAGCGCGGCGGCGTTGACGGCGCCGTAGCCTGGAAAGCGGGCCGGGGCCGGGTTCCCGGAGTCCTCGGAATTGCTGTCGGTGTCTGCGGGGCGAGAAGGGCCGCGGCGTCAGTGCGAGCCAGCGAGGCGCCCTGCTCCGGGCCGTCTGCCCAAGGCAAGCAAGCGCCTCCCCGCGCACGCACGCGGCATCGCGTGTGAGTGTTCACCAAAGACGCCCGGGAGAGGACTCTCAGGGGCGGGAGACAGCCTGCAGGACGGACAGACGGACGGACAGAGGGCAGGCCCGGGGCGGGGAGCGTGACCATGAGGTCCGCGCTGCTTCATCTTTGGGGAACGGAAGCGGGACCACTGGCGGGGAGGGCGTGTGGGAAGTACCTGGACCTTCCTCCAGTTTTACTGTCAGCCTAAAACTGCTAAAAAACAAGAATAATAAAGTCCTTACGAACAACAACAACCCCCCGAAAGATGAACTACGTGGGAAAAGCCTACCTGGAGGCTTCTGCATAAAGCAGACAGAAAACAAGACGTCTGTTCATAGCCGCATCTCACGACTGAACGAGTCCGTATTTTCAACCCTGATCGGTTCTGGGCAGCTCACTAGATTCACATTCTACCCCACTGTTTAGCTGGTGTTTCACCGCCCCGTAAAGGCCACTGCCATGAAACCAATGTGCCCGAACACCAGCAGCCGGGCAGAACAGGAGCAGGGCCTCAAACACGCAACACGAAACGGCTGACATCAAACCGTCCTGCTTCTGTTTGCTACCTCGGCTCTCTTAGGCTCATCTTAGTACTAACTTACTTCAACGGAAACGTAAACAACGTCTGCTCGCCACAGACAGAGGCGAGCGGCTGAGGCGCCAAGCACACAGGGCCCCGGCTTCGCTCCACGGCACCCCCTGGTCTCCTGAACACTGCCACAGATGGGCTCAAAATGCAGTTTCAAAACAGCAGAATCCTAAATTCTGCAGTGAAATATATAGAGACTGTTTAATGAAATGAACTGCCTATTCATAAGTATATGGGAAATAACATTCACGGTTACGGTCCTCCCGTTGTTCATCCATTTGCTTGAGCGGGCCCAGTAACGTCTCCACTGGAGACTTGTTGTTACTGTGTCTGGCATATCGAATACATCACAGGTAGCTTGCCAGGCTCTGCCTGTGGGCGAGATACTCTCAGTAGCTTGCCGGGCTCTCCGAGAGGGGCGGAGGAATCAAACTCGGGTCGGACATGTTGGCTGCGTGCAAGGCAAATCTCCTACCCACTGTGCTACTGCTCCAGCCCGGAAATAACATTATATACTTTGAATTTTGTACTTTAATCTTTTTTTTCTTTTTTGGTCACACCTGGCGATGCACAGGGTTTACTCCTGGCTCTGCACTCAGGAATTACCCCTGGCGGTGCTCAGGCGACCAGAGGGGATGCTGGGAATAGAACCCGGGTCAGCCACATGCAAGGCAAACGCCCTACCCGCTGTGCTATTGCTCCAGCCCCTGTACTTTAATTTTTTAAAGAAGTATTAAGGTAATATATAGCTACCTTCAATTAAGATGTTAGGCTTTTCTTTTTTACTTCAGTTTCGGGGCCACAATCAGCAGAGGTCGGGAAACCCGTATGGGGTGCCAGACAGAACCAGGGGCAGCCCCAAAGCAAGTGCCTTATAGGCTGCAATATTTCTCTTCGCCTATTGAACATTTTTTTAAACCAAACATTGACAAGTCATTGCCGTTTTCCTGAAGAAAACTTAATTAGTGATTGAGGATCAGTTTTAGTCATTCAACTACTTGATCTGTATTAAGAACAAGGTCAATTTAGGAGCATATTATTCAAGCATAAAGTCCGCTAAATAGTGGGGTATTTCTATTTCTTTTTTTTGGCTTTTTGGGTCACACAGGCGATGCTCAGGGGTCACTCCTGGTTCTGCACTCAGGAATTACTCCTGGCAATGCCCGGGGGACCATATGGGATGCTGGGAATCGAACCTGGGTTGGTCGCGTGCAAGGCAAACATCTACCAGCTGTGCTCCCGCCCCGGCGGTGTTTATTTCTAAACTCTGCAAAGAGGATAGTGTCTAAACATTCTCTATCACTTTATGAGTGAAGAAATACTTCCAGTCCAAAAAGAAGCAGTAATATTTTCAAGTTTAAATTTTTCATTTTTAGGGTTCAAGAAGCTGAAGTGCGTATTCTGGCCCAAGTCTAATTCTGAGCGCCCCACATGAATCTCCCAACACCGACAGGTGTGCCTGACCCCACCAAAATAAATTTTGCATTTTAAAATTTCTATCCGAACCGGACTTTTTCTTTTGGTTTTGGGGCCACACTCGGCAGTGCTCTGGCCTTCCTCTGGGTGCTGCACTCAGGGATTACCCCTGTACCCCTGTTGGTGCTTGGGGGATGGTGGGTGGCGGAGGCCGGAATCAAACCTAGGTGGGATGCAGCCAAGGAGAGACATCTACCGCTCTGGTCCCGGGGCTTTTCATCTTAGAAGTCCCCTGTTCTGTTAATCTTCTTCTTAACATTTTTAAAATAATGCCACATGTTTTCTGACATTTTCAGGATTTAGTTATTCAATGAATTAGTTACTCATTTAGTCTTGTCCTTTTTATTTTCCTGCACTGACTTTGAAAGCGCAGTCTCAAAACAAAACCTCACTGTAAGCAAGAACAAAGTCACGTGCATTCCAAAGCAAACTTCTCATTCTCTGAAACTCCAATGGATAGAGACTCTAGCCACAGAGGAGTGGTAAATAATCTTCCTTCACGAAAGGCTCCCTCGGTCCGTGGTAACTGGACCTGCTGGAAAACAGGCTCATTTCCCAGACAGGCCTGGGACTCGCCCTCTGTGCCAAGTACCAGGGCGGACAGACACGCTGGAAGCAAGTCACCCACGGGCAGCTGGGCGCTTCCAGCTACGAGCGGGCCACCGCTTCGCAGGATTTGGCACCCGGGGAAGGAGGCCTGACTCGGGTGGATTCTGGAAGAAGCTGAAACAGTCTCTCCTTCACCCTCCCTTGCCTCTGGCTGTACAGATTTCACAAGGAACCTGCAGACCCCACCAGCCGTGCTGCCAGTGTCAGCCGGCAAGGAGAGAGGGCGGTGCTGGAGCCAGGAGCAGAGACCTGGCAGGCAGCAAAGGCCAAAATGTGCGGGGGCAGAAAGTGGCCCAAGAGACGTCATGTGACATGACCCAGAGCTCAGGAAACTACGCAAAGGACTGCCGGACCTGACACAGTCCCATGGGCGCAGCGACCTCCTCACTCAACAGTCCCAAGTCCAAGGACTCCTGCAGGAGCCGGGAGAAAGCAGGCGGGGTGCCAGGGACAAACCCGGGGCGCTACCCGCGGTCCTACCTCTCCAGCCCCAGCATGACACTTAGAGACAGGCAGAACTCCTGGTCTTTGCCTTTGATTTTAACAGACACCCCCCGCCATGTCTTCTATCTCTTCCCAATCCCTTGTCCCCAAAGAGGAGCAAACCTCGGTCTTTCTCTTCTTCGCTGTCGAAGCTTTCTCTTCCATCGTGCCGTGGGCTGGACGGAGAACTGTAACTCTCTGAGGATGTTTCTCCACAAGTGTCATGTCCCGACCCAAGGTCCAAATTCACATCTACAAACAACAATTGCATATTTCAAAACACGAAGTGAAGCAGCCCAACTATTAGAAATAGGTTGCAGCTACAAAACTGTTTCGGTTCCACCAGGCCTCAGAAGGCCAGTTCCTGACCCAGGTCAATATTCACTACAATATCACGATCTTAACAGAAAACAGGTGGTGAAGACGTTCTTAGAATCAAGACATGTTTTCACGTATCGAATCACTCCACAGAGACCAGGGAGTGTGGGGCTTGAGTCCAGTGGGTAGAGCGTTCGCCCTGCCCGCAGCAGAACCGGGCTCTCTCCATACAGGGCATACCTTACGGTCCTCTACGCCCACCAGGAGTGACCTCTGAGCACAGAGCTAGGAGTAAGCCCCGAGCACAGCTGGGTGTGGCCCCCAAAGAGTAGCACAACTGTTACTGCAGAGAGAAGCCAAAGATGATCACCTTCGGTCAAAGTCAAAAACAACAACAAAGAGAGAAGCCACTTAAATGAGTTTAAGGAAGGCTCTGGAACCTGGACAGTGAAACTACTGTGGTGTCCTGGAAACTTCACAAAATTTCAAGAGTAGGGTTTTTTGGGGGCTTTTGTCTTAAGTTGATTTTTCAAAAACCACACACACACACACACACGTTTGTGTTGGGGGCCACACCCCGCAGTGCTCAGGGATCACTCCTGGCAGTACTCCGGGGACCCTGGGCTGGCCACAGGCAAGGCAAGTACCCTCCCTGCTGTACTATGGCTCTAGCCCCTCACAATGGTCATTTCTACAACAAATTTCTTTAGATAATACAGTTAGCTAGCAAATACTCTACCACCAAGAAATCACACACAAGTCTGCAGTTTTCGAAGAGTGCAATATATAAATCTAAATCTGTACCCAGGATCCTTTCCTCTCCCCCAGGGGCCTGGGGAGGGGGCTCCTGGTCCGCGCTCCAGCTGTGCAGGCTGCGGGGAATCGGCCAGTGCTCATAGGGGCATCAGTACCACTGAGGGCTCCAGGCCCATCTCCTTGGCCCCCATTTCTCTTTCGCATGAGCCCGAGGTGCTTTTGAATTACGACTCCAGAAATTTTATAAACAGAAATTATGTAATCTCCCAAGTTATGGAAGGATAAAAGAATTATGCTAAACCAAACTACTTCAACTGCCCTTTTAAATAAATATTCGCCTGCTGTTAAATATCAAAACTAAAAAGTCACTTTTAGTAAAAACCAAGAGCATAAACTTTAACAACTGCTATTCTAACAAAAAAATTCTAGTTATTAGCAATTACGAACAAGCAAACTGCAGACTCCCCCCCGCTCCCCCCAAGAGTGTGAAGACCTTGTCCTGCAAGCAGCCCACCCTGGTGGCAACACTGAGCCCTCCCAGGAGTGATCCCAAAGCACAGTCAGGAGAAGCCCTGAGCGCCACTGGGGGTGGCCTCAAAATAACACAGAAAGCACCCACATCCACAAGAACAAAAGCAACTGGTGCTGGCGTGGATGTGGCGAGAAAGGGACCCTCCTTCACTGCTGGTGGGAATGCTGACTGATGCAGCCCTTTTGGAAAACAGTATGGACGATTCTCAAAAAATTAGAAATCGAGGGGCTGGAGTGATAGCACAGTGAGTAAGGCATTTGCCTTGCACGCAGCCAACATGGCCGACACAGGTTCGATACCCAGCATCCCATATGGTCCCCCGAGCACCGCCAGGAGCAATTCCTGAGTGCATGAGCCAGGAGTAACCCCTGAGCATCTCCGGGTGTGACCCAAAAAGCAAAAAATAAATAAAATAAAATAAGAAAAAATAAAAAAAATTAGAAATCGAGCTCCCATTGACCCAGCAATACCATTCCTGGGAATATATCCCAGAGAGGCAAAAAAGTACAGTCGAAATGACATCTGCACTTGTTGAGTGCAGCACTCTTTACAATATCCAGAATCTGGAAAAAAACCTGAATGCCCGAGAACAGATGACTGGTTAAAGAAACTTTGGCACATCTACACAATGGAGTACTATGTAGCTGTTAGAAAAGATGAAGTCATGAAAATTACATACAAGTGGTACTACATGGAAAGTATCATGTTAAGCGAAATGAGTCAGAAAGAGAGGGATAGACATAGAAAGACTGCATTCATCTGGGGAACATAAGGTAACAAAATAGAAGACTAACAACCAAGAATAGTCGAGATAAGTACCAGGAGGTTCACTCCATGGCTTGGAGGCCAGCCGCACATGCTAGGGTTTGAAAAGGCAGCTCAGATAGAGAAGGGAACACCAAACAAAGGGTGTTGGGAGGATCCTCCCGGGATGGGAGATACATGCTGAAAGCAGACTCTAGACCAAACATGATTGCCACTCAATGCCTTTTTTGCAAACCACAGCACCCGAAAGGAGAGAGAGAGAACAAAATGAAATTCCCTGCCACAGAGGCAGGATGGGATGAGGGAGATGGGGGTGGGAGGGATAGTGGGATCAGTGGTGGTGGAGAATGGGCACTGGTGGAGGGATGGGTACTCGCTCATTGTATAACTGAAACCCAAGCACAAAAATTTGTAAGTCTGCAACTGTACCTCATGGTGTTTCACTAATAAAAATTAAAAAACAAAAACAAAAACAAACAAACAAAAAACAAAACAGAAAGCAAACCTGCTGTGGGGTGCTGCTCTCGGGGGCTGCCAGGAAGACAGAGGAGGGACGCTTATTTTCCTCCCTTTCGGGCCTCTGCAACTGTTTCGTTCTGGCGCCACACCTGGCCATGCTCAGGGGTTACTCCGGCTCTGCACTCAGGAGTCTCTCCTGACGGTGCTCAGAGGACTACATGGGATGCTGGGGATGGAACCCAGGCCAGCCCCAGCGAGACACACGTCCCACCCACCGTACGAGTCCTCTGGCGGGCCTCTGAAACTTCAACCTGAATAGATTCCCCTCAAAATAAGAGTGAAATTATCTTAAATTAAATTACACTCTATGACCAGCACATCTATTGCGGGCCGGGGGTGGGGAGACCGCACAAACACCTTGGGTTTCCCAAAGGCTTCGAGACAATTCCTTCCTGGCCACTCGACAGCACGCGGCTCTGCGACACCTCCAGATTCCACAACCCAGACAGCCCAGAAGGAGCACAGCCCACGAGACGGGAAAGTAGCACGGACGCCAGTTCGCGCCACAGACAGGAACAGAAGGCGCAGCCGCAGGAACAGCTTAGGGAACCCTCAATACTTTAATGTCTCCACTGTGAGAACAGCAATTTTCACAAACTGTCCTCTATGGAAGTATTTTTTGATAGTTCCATTGGTCATTTTGCTGTAACGAGCAGTATTAAAAACTTTGTGCTGCTACAAGGGCAGGGCTGGGGGCGGGCGTAAAACTGGGGACAATGGTGGAGGGGACGGTCACAGTGGTGGTGGGACTGGTGGTGGGACGCTGAATGCCTGAGACGACTGTAGGAGGAACAAATCTGCAAACCACTGTGTTGAAAGTTTAAAAATAATTATGCACTGTATAAAAAAAAGATGATCCATTCTTGATTTCCTACTATTCCAAAGGAAAATCAATAAAGGTTTTTTTGCACTAGTCAGCAAATATTCGACCTACATTTGACAACAATGGCAAATGGTTAAAATGGTTCGATTTATAATCGCAGTCCACAAGTGCAAATGTCGGACTCAGTAACGTATGGAGAGGGAAAAATAGAAAGAATAAAGTTTATCTTACTCCAGAATTCTGAGGTTTTCTTTCCACAGCATCTGAGAGTTCAGGGAAATGAGAACGGAAGTTTGACATCAGCCTGAAAGTTCTGAAGTGACACGTGTGTGTTTTCTCCTACCACGAGAAGAGGGGAAGCATCTCACGGCACCCACATGCTCGGTGCTGGCATGTGATTCTCACGGCAAACTATGGATCCTGCTTTACAGAGGGAACAGAGGCTGCAGGCCAGGATGGAGGAAGCGAACCGGCAGACACAAGTCAAAGGCGCAGCTGCTTCTGAAGAAAGCCTGCACGGGAAGAGGCGTCCATGTCCCAGGACAGACAGTCGGAGGAAGGGACTCTCCCTGGATGAGCCCATCTGTGCACACTTCAAAAGACAAATGGGGGCAGCGTAGAACGTGGAGAAGGAGAAAGCACGGAGAGCTGGAGAGAGGCAGAAGCGACTTGCCTCTGCCTGCTCGGGGACCGGTTACTCACCAGCCACGCGGGCCTTCCCCACGTGGCCCCCAAGAGGTCAGGTGACCGAGCTGGGAGGGAGGGCTGCGTCATACCCGGCGGGGCTCAGAGGTGCTCGGGGCTGCCGCAGGCCGCGGGGCCCCCTGGTCCCTGAATGTTCTCCAGGCCCCCGAATGTTGCTTAGGAGGGAACGCCCCAAAGTGTGTCTGGGCGCATATATATTTTTTCTGAAGTGACTGATGTTGTACAAGTGAATGCAAAACTTGCTAAGTTAAAAAAGGAAACAAAAAGACGAACACCTCTTGTTAGTGGCATCAGTGCTAAGTGACCAAAAGTCACAAGAGTCACTGGGTGCACTCAAGGACAAGAGTCCCCTGAGTCTGTGGGCTTTCACTCTTCTGTATCTTTTTGGTGAAGATCAAAGATAAACATAAGACAAAAATTATCAAGGAACCAGAAGAGACACTTCTCAACTGAACCCAGGCCCTTTCACTTGAAAATGGAGGAAGTTTAACACATCAAGATGTGCAATAAAATATAATCTTCATCCCTTTCACTAGAAGAGAAAGAAAAACGAGGAACCTTAAACTGACAGTGAGTGGCTGCCAGCAGACAAACGCAGTACGGCAGGAACCCGAGGGCCCTACTGCCCCAGACGCCTGAGACTCCATCCTAAGGACAGTCACTAGAAACGAGTGACCAGAGACAAAGACTTAAGACATGACTGTCCCTCGGAAGGCTTGGGGGCCTGGGCTCTGCTGGAACGCAGGGGCGGGGCCACCGTGACAGCCGCCAAGGCAGCGTCTGCGACCTGCCGGCATTTCCTCCCTCAAACCAGCCCCTCTGCGATTTCAGAGCTGCTACACCCAGAAACTGCCCCCCACAGCTTAAGGTCGGTGGAGCACTGTTTCTGATGAGGACAGGACCAGCTCACTGCCGGCCGCATGGAGACCAGCAGGGGACAGACAGGAGACAGGCTTCCGCCGGGAGTCTGTTCTCACCTTTCACGGGACCCCCGTGGGCATGCTGAGGAGCGGAGAGTCGGATGCCGTTTATTCTACTAGTCATTCTGTTGTCTGTTTTCATTTTCTCCCTGTAGCAAAAAGCCCACATCAGCAACACTTCAAAGAAGATCCTCTAGAAAACACACTATGTACATTACAAAACTCCATTCAGAAAGTTTTGTAATTTAGAAAAATAGTAAGACATATTCACCATTCACAGTACAATTCTGAGTTTTGGCCTATAAGCTAAGTGTTCGATAAGCTTTAATCAGTTACACATGTATTATTCTAAACAAAAAAAAATAAAGCCCAGGTGTAAAAATATGACAAGTGATGACTACACTACTGATAATACATATACTAGACATACCCCACAACCAAATGCTACATGTCGCTTTTTCTTACCAATTATGTTATTGATAACGCTGCAGCGGACTTACTTTTCTATTTGTGGTTTTCCTTTCTTCTTATTCACTGACGACATACTTCGTTTTTCAGTTGAATGCTAGTGGAAATAAAAAGACAGCAGACTGAGTACGTTCGATCATATTCCTATGTAGGGAACCTCTCACTCTGATACCAAACATCAAGGTGAAATATTCCCAGCTGTTTACTCTAACGACTTCTGACCTTTTTTCTTCTATTTTTTGGTGGGGGCCTCCCAACAGTAGTCCCCTGGGGGCCCAAGTACCACGCCTACTGATTTTCAGTTTCAGTGCTGGGGACGGCCAGTCACACCTGGTGGCGCCTGGAGGTCTCCAGCGTCATCTCTGCTTTGGGAGGCCGGTCGGTCCCTGTCCCTGAGCACTGAGACATTTGCTGCCTCCAGCCTTGCAAAATGTGTTGTCATTTGTGCCACAGCCAGTTGTCCTCAACGGGCTGGGAAGGGGAGGTGCTACACTTGGCCCAGTGTCAGGGACCATGTAGTGCCAAGTGATCCTGATCAAACAACACAATCTGGACCTGGAACCACCTCTCAGGGCCCTAATACGTAGGGGAGGCAGCCAGCAGTGCTCAGGGGCCCTCACTCCTGGGTCAGTGTTTGGGGGTTGCTCCTCAACAGTGCTCAGGGATCAAGTAAGTGGTGCCAAAGACCAAACCCGGCTTCCCATCTGCGAAGCATGCACCCAAGGCCACCCCCCTAGTTTGGGGCTTTTTCAGTTACTGACCTGAAATACTAAAATGTACAGAATCTCTGTCTGATAAATAATAACTATGAGCAAAATCATTTCTCTTTTGCGTAAAAATCTGAGGAGATCTAAGCAGGGTGAAGCTGTTTGCCTGACTTGAAGCTGCCCTGGTTCGAATCCCTGGTACCACAGAGGATCAGAGGATACTCAGCTTCACCAGGAGAGATCCCGGAGGTCAGCCAGAGTAAGTCCCGAGCACAGTCAGGTACAACCCCAAGCGAAACACAACTAGGAACCTGTCCTCGTGATGGCTGGTCTGGGGAGGTGGGGCGCAGGGCCGCAGGGCTCGGTGCTGGGGGCAGGTGGTGGCGGGGTCCAGCTCGGAGCCTCACACACACCAGGCACATGCTCTAGCACCTGAGCGGTCTCCAGCCCTTCTACTCTGGTTTTAAAAGAAACATGTATGCTTTCTTCTCAGCACAAAACGAAACACAATCAAGTGGCTGGCTATTTGCTATCCGTCTCTACCACTTTCTTCATGAACACCAAGCAACTGGGTCAGCACTAAAAACAGATGCCATCACCGGAGAAGAAAAAGTACAATCAGGCAGACTTTGAAAGTAAGTCATTAAATCAGTAGGACCAAGACAATAGGCTTCAATGCTTCAGTTCAGACAAAGGCATCCCAGCACAGGCCAACATTTGGATCTGAGTGCTGACTGCAAATAAAAAAATTAGGACACCACAATTACAAAGAAAACCACAAAACACTACACAGAGCTTCAAGAAATAAAAGAGGACACGAGGAAATGAAACAAATTTCCTGCTCATGGATTAGGAGGATCAGTATCATTAAAATGGCAAAACTCCCCAAAGCACTGTACAGATTCAATGCAGTCCCTGGCACCTTTCAAAGAAACAAACACTCCTGAAATTCCTCTGAACATAAATGTCCCATCCCCCGCCCCCGAAAAGCAAAATCCTTGGGAAAAATACAGTAGGAGACATCATTTTCCCCAACTTCAAACTGCACTACAGAACAGTAGAAATTAAAACAGCATGTTACTGAAATAAAGACAGACCCTCAGATCAATGGTATAGAGTTGAATATCCCGAGATAGACCCTCAGGTATATGATCAGTTAATCTTGAGAAAGGAGCAAGAAATATGAAGTGGAGTCAGGTAAGCCTCTTCAACAAGTGGTGCCAAAAAAAAAAAAAAAAAAAAACGGTCATGTAAAAAAACTAAACCCAGAACTCTTTTTTTTTTTTTTTTTTTTTTTGCTTTTTGGGTCAAACCCAGCGATGCACAGGGGTTACTCCTGGCTCTGCACTCAGGACTCACTCCTGGCGGTGCTCAGGGGACCATCCATATGGGATGCTGGGAATCGAACCTGGGTTGGCCGCGTGCAAGGCAAACGCACTACCCGCTGTGCAATCGCTCCAGCCCCTGAACTCAGAACTCTTAACATCATGCATAAAAGTAAATCAAACTCGATTAAGGACTTCGACATCAGACCTGAATCCATAAGGTACACAGAGACAAACACAGGTAGAATCCTCCATGACACGAAGCTAGAAGCATCTTCAAGGATGAAACGCCACTGACCATGCAAGGGGAAGCAAAGATAAACGGGACTACATTAAACTAAGAAGCTTCCGCACCCCAAAGGAAACAACGCTCAGGACAGAGAGCGCCCACGGAATGAGAGAAATTATTTACCCGATACCCATCTGATAAGGGGTCAATAGCAGAGATATATAAGGCACCGGCAGAACTTTACAAGAGAAAACATCCAACCCTACCAGAAAGGGGGGAGACAGGTGAACGGAAACTTCTTCCAAGAAATACAAATGGTCAAAAAGCACGTGAAAAAAGCTGTGCGTCACTAAGCATCAGGGAGATGTAAATCAAAACAGCAATAAGATACCATCTCACGCCACAGAGACTGCCACACATCCCAAAGAACAAGAACCAGTGGCTGGCGTGGCTGTGGGGAGAAAGGGGCTCTCCTCCACTGCTGGTGGGAATGCCGACTGGTGCACCCTTTTTGGAAAGCGTGGGCATTCCTCAAAAAAGCTAGAAACCGAGCTGCCACACAACCCAGCAATACCACACCTGGGAAGAACCTAGAGACCCCAAAACAATGCCAGAAAGCCATCTGTGCTCCTGAGTCCACGGTGGCACGATTCACAAGTGCTCCAGACCAGATGAGTCCGGGAAACTATGGAACATCTATACAATGGAATACCATGCAGCTGTTAGGAAAAATGAAGTTATGAAATTTGCTTACACATGGATGGACAGAGAGGAGTATCTTGCTGAGTGAAATGCTGAGTCAGAGACGGACAGACACAGAATAATCGCAATCATTTGTGGAATATTAAAAAAAAACACGGTGTCAGAATAGTATTCAAAAACAGTACAAACGAGGGTCAGCAAGATTGGTCATGAGTTGGAAATGATCACGCTGGACAAGAACTGAGAGTTAAAGGTAGGTAAAGGGATATACCTGCTATCCTCTCAGTATCTGTATTGCAAACCACAATGCCCAAGAGGAGAGAGAAAGAGAGATTCAATGAAAAAAGAAAGACTGATTCACCCACGGCAGGAAGCTTGCCCCAAGTGGGGGAGTGCAGTCAGGACAAAGAAGGGACACTGTGGCAATGATAACTGGAAATGATCGCACTGGACAAGAACTAAGAGCTGAAAGGAGGTCAAGTGAGATCCACGATACCCTTTCAGCAATAGTCCTGCAACCCACAGTGCCTAAAAGGGGGGGGGGGCAAGAAAGGGGTGTCTAGCAGAGAGGCGGCTGTGTCAAGCTGAGCAGGCCAACACTCCTACGCTTCCTACCCGATGTGCTGGCACGATGCTGCCCTTCTCCGGCCAGAGCGCGACAGAGGGCACTCACACAGCCCCGTACCTGCTGGCCCATGATGGTCACACAGTGCTCCGGATGCTGCACGCCGGCACAGCCCTGCTCCCTCCAATCCACGATCCCGTTCTGCTCCGAATACTGCACCGCCAGCCCATCCAGCGGAGAACAACTCGTACCGATAGTGCTGTCGAAACAGAAGTTAAACAAGCGTAAAAACGTGCCCTGCGTGATCACGCTGCAGTACAGGAGGGCACGTATTACTGTACAGCACGCTGAAGACACGCAGCAGCCTTCCTTGAAAATACTAGTTTACTAGAGAATGCAAAGAGACAATTTGGAGAAAATAAAAAGCACAGCATGTGGGGGAAAAAAGCATGTGTCCATACTAAGACAGGATTATTCACACTAGACTTCACGGGAAGACACGACGAACCCACACCCTCCCTCCAGACTCCACGCCAGGACGCCCTAGAGCACTGAAAGCTGCGGCAACACCACAGTCCTGGGAAAACCGAGAAGTTCTGTGTCAATACACGAAGGAATGTAAGTATAAAAGCCAAAGAAACAGACAAGAGAACAAAACCAGAGAAAATCCAGAGAAAGAAGTTACTGAACAAAACCCCTGAATAGCAGGGCTTAAAGTAGTCGAGTGAGACTAGAATACTGTAACCGTACTAGAAAATATTAAGTGAAAAGTGTATCTCAAATCTAGAACTGAGACAAAAACTAAGAGCTCAATGGATGGAAAACATAAAGGAACTTTTTTTTTTTAAATAAAAATAGATAACACTAAGAAGAAAAAAGTCATGGAAAAGATAAAAACACTTGAGAGGTTTGGGCCATGATGAAACCCTGAAAGTCCTTGAGAGACCAGCAGAGGGAGCAGGAGAGCTGGGTAGCGGCGGCCCCGTAGAGGCAGGATCTGGTCCGAGCAGCCGGGAACGGGTCCAGGACTGAGGCTGCCTCCCAGGGTCACCTGCCCGTGGTGCGATGCTGAGCCAAGCCCCCACTCCCACCTTCACCTGTGGGGAGCCGGTCTCCATTCAGGGCTTAGAGACTGTGCTTGCAAAGGCCAAGGAGGCCGCTTCTGGCCCTGAGTGGGAGGTGGGAGTCCCGGGATCCTGCGAGGGGCAGGGCAGTTGTGACCGAGTGGGTGAGAGATCACACACACACACACACACACACACACACGGCTTCAGGTCACTCGCAGCAGAGACTGGGGCTGGGACACACACATACACACACACGGCTTCTGATCACTCACAGCAGAGACTGGGGCTGGGACACACACACACACACACACACACACACACACACACACACACAGCTTCAGATCACTTGCAGCAGAGACTGGGGCTGGGCTGGGACACACACACACACACACACACGGCTTCAGATCACTCGCAGCAGAGACTGGGGCTGGGCTGGGACACACACACACACACACACATACACACACACGGCTTCAGATCACTCGCAGCAGAGACTGGGGCTGGGCTGGGACACACACACACACACACACACACACACACACACGGCTTCTGATCACTCGCAGCAGAGACTGGGGCTGGGCTGACACACACACACACACACACACGGCTTCTGATCACTCGCAGCAGAGACTGGGGCTGGGCTGGGACACACACACACACACACACACACACACACACGGCTTCTGATCACTCGCAGCAGAGATTGGGGCTGGGCTGACACACACACACACACACACACACACGGCTTCTGATCACTCGCAGCAGAGACTGGGGCTGGGCTGGGACACACACACACACACACACACACACACACACACACACACACACACACACGGCTTCAGATCACTCGCAGCAGAGACTGGGGCTGGGCCGAGAGGACATGACCAAAGACCGCGTGACGTTTCAGTCTCCGAGAGTGGCACAGAAAAAGTCAGCTAGAATCCCATCTCCAGCAGACATATCTCCTGAAAACCTCAGGGAGGTTTTTGTAATATTTTAAAGGATCGACACAAAGAAAATCCATCCCTGACGGATGGATTTTGACACAGGAAAGCAGGAAGATTCTTCAAGTAGAAAGAAAAGGATCAGCGGATATAAAGAGGAAAGAAACGACAAAGCCTAAATCTTCAGCAAATTAAGAGTTTATGAAGTTTGACATAGAAAAGAATCAAAATACAGGAGAGCCAGACCTAACAGGCCGGGAAGACAAAAAAAGCTACCACAACCTAAGGTCTGGGAGGAGGTATAAGTAAACTAAGGTACACTACTCAAACATTACAAAGATTTCTATTTTGATGTTGCTCTGGGGCCACACCCGGTGGTGCTCAGGGCTTACTCCTGGCTCTGGGCCCGGGGATCACTCCTGGGGATCCTGGGAGACCGTGTAGCACGCTGGGGATTGAACCTGCATGCAAGGCAAGTGGCCTACCCACTGGGCTCTCTCTCTGGCCCCAGACTGCTAAGGTTTTTAAGCAGAGATGAGGAACAGAACCTCGAGGGAGAAAACGAAGCATAAAGTGGGACAACTAACAAACACTTAGTAAAACAATGGGATGACAGCCAAATCTGCTGGTCAATATTACATTGAATTAAAAATGACAGATACTATGATTTAAGAATCAGACACCTACTTCATAATGGGATTCTTCCCAGTATGCTTCTTGTGGACTATGGTGTGCTGTAACATATCTAGAGTAAAGGAAAAACAAATTACTATCCCAAATACTCTGCAAATGCCAAAAGGATGAAATGCATTTAGGTGACCCTAACAGAGGTCAGCAACAGTGTGGAGAACAGACCATTTTTCAGCACAGAAAATTCCTTAAAGCAGTGGGTTTTCTTACAATAAACTTTGTTCGTAATAAACAGCAACTCAATTTTGTCCCAAAGAGTTAAAGTTCATTATGAGTAAACCATTGCAAAGCTATTAATGTCCAATTCGAGGTAGTCGTTTCAAGTAATTAAAAATAAAAAACAAACCAAATAGGCATCAATGAAGCGAGTGCCGTGTACCCAGCCCCCAGTATCTACTTTAAGACACCCAGTACGACAGGAACGACCTTGTCCTTCGTTCTCTCTCCAGAGAGTAACCGATTGCAACACTGCAGTGCTGGCCTTTACATACACATTAGCACTGCTGCATTTCTGAGCATACTACACCTGTCCTTTATTTTAATAGCCACCTGGCATGAATAATGCCACAACCTGGTTGTAACTTTGAGAACAATGGGTAATATCCAGGTTATTTTCTATCCCTGTCACCGAGCACATGGAATTTTTTTTTCTTCTTCTTTTTGCTTTTTGCACGGCAATGCACAGGGGTTACTCCTGGCTCTGCACTCAGGAATTATCCCTGGCGGTGCTCAGGGGACCCTATGGGATGCTGGGAACCAAACCTGGGTTGGCCACGTGCAAGGCAAACGCCCTACCCACTGTGCTATTGCTCCAGCCTCGCACATGGAATTTTCAAAGAAGCAGAATTCCTGGGCAGAAGCGTAAAATTAGTTTTTCCCAACCTCACTGTATAGCACTAAGTCTCTGTCCATATAGTTCTATCAATTTACATTTCTACCACCAGAAGCTGAGAATTCCCATTACTTTACGTCCACAATAACAGATTTTAAGAAGTTCTTGCCAGTCTGACAGGAACAAAGTAAAAAACTTTCAAGCTGGCTCTCAAGACTCCCTGTGAGGTTCAACCCCTTCAACAGCCATGCAAGGGCTCTGCTTCCGTCTCCTGCTCAGCTTGGTTTTTCTGCCAATACTGCCACTGAACTGATTTTCTCACTGACTGAGGAGATTCTCCAACCTAGGTGTATTCTTGATCTGCAAACTCTACGGAGCTGTCTGGGGAAGCTCTCCCTGGGGTCATGCGGCGCCCTGTCTGGGAAGGTCTCTTCCTAGACGATTAAAACGTAAATGTTGCATTTTCAGTCTTACATATTATAGTAAGCATGGAGGTTGCACGCTTAAAATAGTTACTTAAAATACTCATGCATGACAAAGGAATTTAATTCTTCACATTATTTCTTTTTTAATTGGAACATCGTTCGACATGCCACCATTTACCAAACAGTCTCTTCCCCGATTACTGTCACACTCCACGTTCCTGTGTGTTTCTCGGCTCCTTTATCTGCTCTATTGGCCCAACCCCGAGACAATGTCAGGCAGAAAGGCACCAACATTTACCTTCTTCTTGACTTGAAGCTTCTGAGCTGTCTTCTTTTAAGTGTTCTAGTATCTTTGATGTCTTCAGTGAGGGCTGCAGGTTATCTGGAGGAGAGTATTCAACACCATGAACTTTTTAGGATGATTCAAACAGGAAGTTAAACAAATAATGATGGGTAGAAGAGAGCGTACATGGGTTAAGACATTTTGCCTTGCATGAAGCCAACCCTGGCTCGATCCACAGCCCTGTATATGGTCCCCTACCCCAGACCGCCAGGAGTAAGTCCCGAGTACTGCAGGGTGTGGCCCCAAACAAATTAATTTTCCAAAATTAATTTCAAGAAGGATGAGTATGGAGGATTTGTGGTAATAAGGCTTGTGGCAGTTAGGCCTGCCTCTAAGAAAGCACGATGGCCAGGCACCAAAGCTGGCAGGCTGGTTCACATCTCACCCCCTTCCCCAAGTGCCGGTGGGAAGGATAGCAAGTGGTGTGCTAAGGCTTTTCTCGGATTTTATAGGAGGCAGGTTAGACTGGGCAGAGACAGGGAGCAGGAAGCGCAGAAAGGGCGTTCTGCGCGTTGAGGAGTGCGCCGTTCATCCAGAGGTCCCCGACAGGCCATGCACTCGACCCCACAGCCACTGGGGAGGAGCCGCCCTCAGCCACCAAGTCTCCAAACCCATCCTCACTGACTCTGGGTAAAGGGCCACTTCTTGGAGACATGAATCCTGCGGGAGGCCAGGGAACCGGACCCGGCCCGCAGCCTCAATCACATGCTCTCGGAAGGCGACAGCAGGGAAGCAGCAGATCTGAATGTCCGCGGCGAAGGACCCTCGCCAAGGTCCCTCTGGCCAGTCTACACAGCGGCAGGCTGCAGCAGCTCCCAACGAGGCTGCTCCTCGCAGCCACTGCACACTGGGCCCCTGGGGGCTGTCGTTTTTTAAAGCTTCCAGTTTGGCACGTGGCGGGGTTAAACCACAGGGAAATCTCCCACGCCTACTCAGCTTTCCTTCTTCCGTCACAGACCAGCACTGGCCTAACGCAGAGAGCACTCTGGCGGCACTGGGCGACCTCCACACCAACAACGGGGACTCCAGCATGCCACACTCTAACTCACTTAATTGGAATTTGTGTTTTCATTTGTCACGATGTGGAATGTTCCTCTCTCCCGGGGATGGCCATGGCTGCAGAGCTGTCACTTTTTTCAACAGAGTAAGTGCCAAATGACTTTGACACTGTATTCCTTGTTGAAAGACTCTGGTATTCATGGTCATTATCCTGACCAGATTTTACCATGATCTTAAGATAAATGACTTAACGCAGATTTTTCATAAAAGTGATATCGTAAAATAAAATCCACTTTAGAAATGCTTGCGTCATTTAAATAATGCCAAGGTCTCAAGATGGGATTTCACTTTCTCTCTTTTTCTCAGGGGGAGGTGGGCTGGAAGAAGGAGATGGGTCCCACCTGGCAATGCTCAGGGGTTACTCCTGGCTCTGAATTCACGAAATACTCCTGGCAGTGCTTGGGAATCGAACCTGGTTTGGCTTTGTGCGCAAGGCAAGCGCCCTCCCGACTGCACTGTCACTCCAGTCTAAAACTTCTACTATTTACAGACTGCCTTCTTGGGTAAGCATTCCTGAGAAGGATGTCAGTCTGAAGGACGACACCGTACTTACATACCTTTGTAGCACAGATGCTACGCACAGATATTAAACAGTATTTGTAGAAAATACTGATAAGTAGGAAATACTTATTGCTAAATCAGTATTTCAACTGGAAAGTGATCAGATCCTCTCTAAAACATTATTGTCACTATCAGGCGTGAAGCATACTAATAACCATGGAGTCATTAATTCTAGCTGCTACTTACCTGTTTAAAATATCTAAGATGTATGTATAAATATCTATGTAAATACATATATACACACATACACAAATGAGGAAAACACTATGGATGTTAACCCGTTTTAATGCCTAATCATACATTTTATCTTTCACCTACGATTAAAAATAAGCATTTCCTCCCTCCTTCAGGACTGCTGAAAATAGGCACTTGTTTGCCACAGTGGCTAAACTTAAATGCTGACGTCAGCACATCCCACCGGTGGCTCACACTTGGATGTGGCTTAATTAACACAAACTGCAGCGCCGCATCGATGTGTTAACAGAAATACCCACGAACGTTATCAGCAAGATACTGGAGAAAGGGGGCTGAGTACTATGAGGATGAAACTAAATGTCAGGCAGACGGACGAATGCCTGAACTGGAGACCAAGGGAGTACCAGGAACAGGAGGAAAAGACTCTGCCTGAGGTGCTACGTCAGTTGGGTCTCGAAACAGGTACTACCACAGGTGCTGTGAGCTAGGGAAAGGCTACGCGGAACACAGACTCCAGGCAGCCGGAAGGAGCCGAGAAGCCGAGGAAGGAGGTCCGTGTGATCAGGTGACAGGCCTGAATTTTAGCCTAGATTCTCGGCTTCTGAATGGGGGATTAATAATCAGATTTACCCCGGAGATGACCCTGAGAAAGACCAGCGGAGTGAGAACCTACAAGTCAAGCGAGACTCGGCAGATCAACAACGGGAGAGGCCTGACAGTGTGAGGCTGGCCGTCCTTCGTCCAGCGAGCACGGGAGCGGAGAGGAAGACCAAAGGCGAGTCTGCGGAGCTAAGGAGTGACCGGCACGGGGCCAGCACTGCGCGCGGCCCGCTGCTCCCTGCAGACCAGCTCCGAGGAACTGCAGCACTCGGGATGCGAGTGACTTTCAGAGACACCCTCGGCCCTCCTGCCTGCCATCAGTCTGTTCAGTGACAGACACTGTCTTCGAGACCGCGGGGTTAAAGTTCACGGGGAGAACCCCAAACGCTGGGCGAGAACCGGGCAAGAACGCGGCCCTGCTTCTGCAGGTGGCGCGAGGGCTGCGCGGTGCTTACTGAGGCCGTGGAGCGGCTCTGACGAGAAGGACTGGAAAAAGCTGTGCACTTTCGGACTCTGGAGAAAAGCTTGAGACGAAGTTGAAAATAGCTGCCTGCAGAAAAAGGGAAGAGCCCGTTACTGTCACGTCATGCAAGCCCACGAGGTCCTCTGCTTAGACCGTAATGCAAACTCAGTGGCACTTTCATTCTTGTATGAAAAATGAGTTTCCAAAGGTAAAGACTGTTTTATTCCCACCTCGTGAGAGGAATAAGCTACAGCTTAATCTCTTGGTAAAAATCGAAAAACCAGGGTGACTGATTTCCAGGCCTGTTTGGGTTTTGGGGCCGTACCCAGCAACGCTCAGGAGTTCCCCGGCTCTGCGCTCAGGCCGTGCTCAGGGGCCGCTGAGGCGCCAAGACCCCAACCGGCAGGCAGCGGGGGGGGCAAGCGCACAGTCTCTCCGGCTCTGGGTTACTTGGAATTTTCTGTAACAGGAAGGTTTCCATTTTGACAAAAACTGTGTTTCCGTCTTTTGCCCAAGTGGCACCCTCTCTGCTCAGAGAAAGAACAGTCATTTCTAGCGCCTACTAGGTGTCCAGGTTCATTCCTTGGCTAATCCACGAAGGACCCCTGCCCGCCACCACCTGAGGTGGGAGGCAGGGAGTCTGCGCCACTGGAGGGCCCACCACAGGCAGGCAGGGCAGGTGGCACGACCGACCGAGCTCCGCTTCCGTGTGCGCTTTTCTGTGCCCGCAGTCTCTACCTCGGGACACACGCTCTCTTCAGTCTTTCATCAGCGGAATTGGGAGTTCAATCAGAGGCGTTCCCCTTAAAAGGGCAACGAGAGACCATCACTTCAACCGCCCGACAGGCCGGTCACCCGCCCATTTATGCGGTCTTTCAGTGGTCTCACTGCCTTTGCTCAAGGTTCTAAGATTCAAATGGCATACGGAAGTTAAACTGTCACCCCACTCAACACAGAAGCCCTTTCTTTTCACAACCCTTCGAGCACTTAGATGCTCACTGTTTTGTTGGGGGTGAGGGCTTGAGCCACATGTGGTGTTCAGGGCTTACTCCTGGCTGTGTTCCGGGATCATTCCTGGAGGATACAGGGACCATACTGGGTGCCGGGGATCAAACCTGGGGTGGCGGGTGAAAGGCAAGCACCCTACCTGCAGTACTCTCTCTCCAGACCTTAGATGCTCATTTAAAAATCATTTAGAATTTTAAATCTGAATTTCTCTCCAGGGCTTTTGGCTTCTCATTCAGATTTAAAGATTTATGATTATTAAAGGCCATGAAAGACCCCATGTGAGTCTTACGAGTGAAAATGGCTTCATATCAGGTATTAAGACTGAATCTTGGTATGCAATGTGGAAGTGAGCATTCAGTAGAAAGACAAAGAAACTAGAGATGGAAAAAAGCACGAGACAGAGTGAGTCCCAGATCAGAAGCCCTTTGGAACAAAGTCCAAACGCGATGGGGAGACTCTCTGGAACCCAGTGACATTCACACCCCAATGAAGAAAACGCAGAGAGACACCTTCAGGTCAAGGTCTGTGGGCTTCGACCAGTGCCAAGACTCCCCTCTGACTCCAAATACCATGTGCCTATCCACTGGGAACACTAAACCATCCCGTTAAAGCGTACCAGAAAATAAGGGGCAGGTTTGGAACCAGTGGATGGACTAAATTGAAAGTCCGGTAATTCATAAGCCTCGGAGGACAAAGTGATACCTGTAATGAGAACTCAAAGTGGCCACTGACTACTGAAAAAAACAATTAAACAATTACATTTCGACATGACAGAAACTGTCCAACTCCAAATCTGTATTTTATAGTCATGTTTTCATTTTTCAAATTTAAATGCACTGTCCTACCAACTGAATCACTCCTTTGCTCATACAGCAATTTTTCCCTCCTCCTTTTTAATCGTTAGGTTTTGTAAGGCGGCAGTCTTCACCCTGTCTCACCTGTGGCCCAGTGCCTGTCCCACGTTCAATGAAGGTTTAACACCTTCACCTTCAATAAAGGTTTTGCAACCAGAAACGCACCATAAGAACCTAACCCTTGTTCATCAATGTGCCTCTGGTCAAAATGGTTTTGTTACATGTCAGTAACATTAATGGAGACATCCACATGGGTATGTTTCGAGGTACAGAATATATCATGAAAAGAAGCAGCAGAAAAGTGTGCGAAGTATCATTAAATTTCACAGTAAATACAAAATTATCAATTACAGATTCTAGTTTTGTTTTCTTCTTCTTCTTTCTTTCTCCTTTTGAATCACATCGGGCAATGCTCAGGACTTACTTCTGGCTCTGCACTCAAGAATTACTCCCGGTGGTGGTGCTCAGGGGACCATATGGGATGTAGAGGACTGAACCTAGGTCGGCAGCGTGCCAGGCTGAATTATCACTCTGCACACTGAATTATCACTCCAGCCTCAAGGAGAGTTGGGACTGGAGCAAGAGTGCAGCAGACCTGGGTTGGGTATCTGGCACTACTCATGGTAGCCAGAACTCTGCCAGGAGTGATCCCTGAGCACTGCTGGGTACGACCCAAAAACTAAAAAGCAAAGCAGAAGTGATATTCCTTTCACACTGCCACTGTAAGCCTAAGCTCACGTGACAACCAGAGCTCATGGACAAGAATCTTCAAGCAGAAACTACTTAATGGAGAAACTGAGAGGGTTCAATAAATCTTTGTATATTTTAAAAGCAATTATTTATTGCACCAGAGAGATGAAGAAACTCATCTCTTACAATGAGCTTAAAGCCAGGTGTAAAGTCCAAGTTACCAAAAGATGCTTTCATCTCCCCAGATTCCCACTGGTAACCCTGAGGTGACAGATCAGTCAACTTTACCTCAGAATGGGTTCTAGATCAGGATGTCGTCGCTCTTCCCTTTTCAACGAGCCCTGATTCAGAGCTCTTAAGATGGTCTTGTCAAAAGTCTCTGAAGACAATTCCTTTGGAAGCTGGAAAAGAAAACCAGAGCGGCCAATGTTACATTTCTCTCTCACTGGGAAGTTTGTGTCTAAGGCATAAAAGAAGGATAAACAGCCCTGCTAAGTGATCACCTCAAGACTTTCCTTTCCTAGGTCCTCATGTGGCCTCACTGAGCATTCATTACTCCGCACCTGCTGTCTGGGCGCACCTCAGGAGTCCTACGGTGGACAGCAAGCCTGCAGCACCACCCAATTCGGAGTGCCCCTGGCGGCGCCGTGACCCCCCCGCCCCCCTCCCCCGCCCCCTCTGCAGAGCACAGCGAAGGCTACTTCCCAAAGCCTTTTCTCCACTTTGCACTTTTTCTCCACTTCTGCATCTGGTCCTGCATCTGCATCTAAGGCAAAGTCAGATCACCGACACTATATACCAAACAAGGAACTGGAGCGAAGAAAAGAGTGTGAATACTGCCCAGAAAACAAACACTTAGCTACAGGTTAGTGACTTGAATTCGAGAACCCAAAGGAGTGTGCCTTTGACAAGTAAGTATTCTGAGTATTCAGAAATTGGAAATATCACAAAGATAGCATAAAGATTACTAATTTTAGGTCCTTGAATCTGCAAACTCAGATGTTGTGGGAGAAGGAAGTTCTCCCTGGCAGATCAAGGACCCAGATCCTAACAAGAAGAAACAAATTCTAGGTCTACAAAGAAGTGACTAATTACATATCGGTAAATATGCATTCACATATTGACATTTATCTTGATAATATGGAACTAGGATATACACAATATATACTACATATACAATTATAGCATCCCGTCCATTAAACAAATTCTGCTATATATCTCTACACAGCCAAAGGAAATCAGCTTCTGTGGAGTTTATTTCAACGACTAAATTACTGCAGATTCCTCTAAGCACAGGGAGTGACGGCCCAAAAAAGGTTCAACTCCAACTCGTCAGCTACTGATTGTGTGATCAGGTAGAGGGGAGTTACTTAGTCATCAGTATTCACAAGCTGACTGATTAAAGCAGGAACCTTCTACTTCCACCTCAAAACCCAGGCACGTCTGCTAAATACACAGCTTTAAAGCATGTCTCTTCTGTATAGTTACCCTGAATGTTCTCACTGTGGTCCTCATTTGAACCTACCCAGGCTGGGAGAGCCCAGGGGTCAGTGTCAGCATAAGTTCAGAACTGGAAGGCATTTATTTATATGTATTTCCAGCTCTTATCTCAAAACAATGAGGCCTAATAGGGAACCACCTACAAAACCATATTAAAGTCCGTTTCTGTAAAGACTTCTCATCGTTCATTCATTCATTCAACCCACAAATACTCCAAGGCAGCTGGCGGTCCCAAGCACAGGTCCCAAGCATAGCGTAGTCTTAGTCGCTGCAGGTGCAGCAATGGCAAAGAAAACTAACCCTGCCCCCTGCCTCCTTTCTGGCAGGCAGCAAGGGCAGTTGGGGAGGTCGGATGAAAGCTCAGCAGCGCTAGGACCCAGAGGACACCCCCTCCCCCACCCCAGCCTACTCAAAGCGCGTTGAGTAACCCAGCAGCGCCAGGCATGAAAGTCACTTGTTCTCGTTTAGAAAGTCCCAGATTCTGCTGCTGGCCGAGCTGGGGGATCATTACTAGGGCTCTAAAGTGTACATTTTCTTTTATGTGCGGCTGGTGTGTGTTTGTTCATAAAGCACACAAGCTTTTCGAAAAACAACAAAGGAAGCTTCGGGAAATGCAGGAGAGCTGGGCGGGGGGGTGAGGGGGGTGTCAGCCACGGGTCTGGGGTCTCGGGTCTGGGGAGGTAGCTCCCCCTCCACGCTGCAAGAGCCCAGCGGAACCCTCTGGGAGAGGAGCAATGAGAGGTTGCGCACGGCCACTAGAGGGTGAGGCCTGTTTAGGGTTACTTGCCCTTAAATTCCGATCCACTTATTCTGTCAAGAGACGGAAAATCGAAAAATCGGAAACAAGTGGATTTTTTTAATGAGCGGAGGAAGGGGTAGGGCAGAGCACCTGCCCGTCCCCGCTGGCCGAGGAGGCGCTTTCTCCTACGGCGGCCGCAGCAGCCGCTCACTCCCTCGTGCCCTCTCAGCTTCCTCCCACCTGGATATACTCTGGCAAGTGGGAATGAGTGACCGACCCCCACTGCCACTGGCAGGCAGGCGGCGGGATTCCGTCCCCGGAGTGCCCAGCGCCAAGACCAGGAAAAGGCTGCTCCAGCCAGTCCCTGGACACGACTCCTCGGGGACCAACCTGGGCCGGCACAGGCACAGGAAAGGAGCGCGGCCACCTGCGACCAACAGCCTCTTTAGCTGGAAGAATAAACGGGACCCGTGATCTGAAAAGAAAGTCCAGGTGGTGACGAGCTTCCAACCAGCACCGTCCCAAACAGCACAGGGGAGGGGCTCCATCAAGACGGCACACGCCCGGCACACCTATGCCTCCACCAGGGGAGGGGAGGAGCTGGGACGAGGATTTCATCATCTCATGGAAAAAGATTTCCTTACTGAGGAACAGTAATTTCTTAAACATTTAACCCCGATAGCACAGCGGGTAGGGCGTTCGCCTTACAAGCGGCCAACATGGCCGACCCGAGTTCGATTCCTCCGCCCCTCTCGGAGAGCCCGGCAAGCTACCGAGAGTATTCGATATGCCAGACACAGTAACAACAGAGTCTCCAATGGAGACGTTACTGGGCCCGCTCGAGCAAATCGATGATCAACGGGAGGGCCTTTACTTACTTACTTTACTCTCCATTTAATATTCAGCTCTACCCATACACTTCGTAAAATAACTTGATGAGCATAAAAGGAAGAGGGAAGAGCTTAAGCCGGTGGTACCTTACCTCACCCCACCGCGGCAAGTCTAATTGCCATTATTCGACCTTAACTTTCGGCAGTGTGGAGATCCTGTCTTTGGGAGAGTCTGGGAGGAGCTGGAACTCAAAGAAGAAAGGGAGACAGAGCTGAGGAAGCCCCCAAAGGAGCTAAATGGGAGATTTGAGAGCCACAAGCAGATGAGATGCCCACAGCTCCGGGTACCTCTCAGACACACGCATTCATAAACGCACCTCTGCTAACAGCCACCAACAGTACACACTTGGCGAGGGACAAAGGATTGGGTTCTATTTGTTTTCAGCGGAAAAACCCCTTCATCTTTTCCTTGTATTGGCAATGTAAGGAACACTTTGTTTCGAATAACATGACATTTTCTATAGCTCACAAAGGTTCTGAGATACGCGTCTTAATTTTCCAGCTTTTTTTATGTGACTGCTGAAATTTCTGGATTCTTTGCACTATGTAAAACTTATTTTAACAACAAAATCTATATTTTTACCTTCAGTAGAAATTCCTGTAGTTCTTGGTGGGTTTTTGTTACTGTTGTGACTGAAAGATCAGACCAATTTACCTGATTTAAAAAAAACACACATATCATATGGTTATTTCTTAGGCGGGAACCGGTTGGAAAAAAGCCATGTGTAAAACAAAGGGCCTTACTTAAAAATTTTTAATAATTAAAAATATATACTTAACCTGCTATTTTTGTGATTTCATTTAAATTGTTAAAAAAATTAGTGTGCATTGATATAATTTACTTAAAAATTGTTAATTTCTTTTAAATCACATTTTTATAAAAAGTGGCCTAAAATTATTTGAGTGCTGTAGCAACTTTTTAGAATGGGTATTGTCTGTGTGAAGCCACTGTAGGACTCTAAAATGAGGCTAGGATAGCGTAACTCTAAGGCCACGAAGATAAAAAAACTACCTCCTGGAATTTATTATTTTAACATTCTTGAAATAACTAGACCTTCCTGTCCCTTTTTGTAGTATTTTTATGGGAAATTATAGTTTATGAAAGGGTCTCATTTTCTCATTTCTTTAAAATTCTGTTTAAGTGGAAAGGCAAGTATAACCATTTCCATTTGCAGATGGCAAATCTGAAACTCAAAAAATGTTAACTTAGATTTGACCTTAGGTCAACAGAAAAGCCAGAACTGAAACCCACGTTATCACCTCACTTTTGGATATTTTAATTCAGAGAACACTCAATGGTGAACCACTCATAATTTTTATTTGTAAATTATTTTTAAAAATCCTTCAATTATACTAATATCTAATCTAATACTTATTAACTAGTCATAGCTTATCAACTGCTTAAAAACACACACTAAATTTTACCTATCCATATGGTGGGTGGCTCGGGGCCTATTCCCGGCTCTGCACTTGGGATCACTCCTAGAGAGGCTCATAGGCTCATAATACGTTGGGCCAGGACATGAACATGGGTCAGCCACGTGCAAGGCAAGTGCCCTACCCACTGTACTATCATTCCAGCCTCTCGAAACGAGAACTATTCTTATTAACTGGCACAGCCGTTGAGTGATTCTTAATTCTTCAACGGCTTGTGTCAGGTACTGTCTTCAGTGACGGTGGGCAAGACAAAGTGCGCAGCACCTCAACTCTTGAATCTGGCCTAGGAGGCAGAGGAAAGCCAGTCAACAGGGAAGGATTTCCCTGGGAGAGCAGAGCTCCGAAGGAAAGGAGTCAGGCAGAGTGGAGCAGCAGGAAGCAGCACAGCGCACGGGCCCAAAGGGGTCCGGGGAAAGGGCAGTGAGCAGGTCTGTGAGTTGTCAGCTGTGCTCTGTGAGGGAAGATCATTCCAGAGCCAGGGGGTAGCAGAGGCCGATGGAAGGAACAAGTGCGAAGCCCAACGACAGAAGGAGCACCACTAGCCTGGAAGGAAAACCGGCATATGCTCAGGTTATGACTCTGAAGAGAAACACGAAGGTCAGGGCTTCACATTTGCAAATGGAGGATGGAGATCTCACAGAGAAGAAGTCGAAATGGTGCAATTAATTCAACAAATGTCTTGAGCAAGTCAAATACAGTAGGGATGACAGGAATGAAGGTTCCTGCTGTTCATGATACGATGACCTACTGGAAAGGAAAACCATGTAGTCCAAATGGCAGATCATCTTGGAAAGATCTGATGGGGTTTCCCCTCGATGAACGAGAAAACGTTCTGCCGGAGCGCCAGAAATGACTTAATGGGAAAGGACAGCTGAAACGTGACCAGCAAGGCTCCTGGGAAGAAGTGAAGTGAGGAAGCGGGCTCTTGGCTACAGGCGTGCGCAGGTTAAGCCCCAGCAGAATGCACGGGTCACGGGAGCCCAGGACGGAGGTGGACAGAAGGATGTGGACGAGGAGTCCACATTCCAGTCACCAGGCAAGAAGGGACGTGGGCAGTAAGAGGATCAGACAGCTGTCTGGCGGAAGAGCAATCAGATCGGAAGGCAAGGCATTAAAAGCCAAGGAATAAAACCAAGGTAGAAAAAGAGGAGGAGAAAGGTATCAGGGGAAAACAGTGCCAAAGAAAAGACAAAGCCCGCGATCTCCGTTTTTCAAATGCTGGCAGAGCGCTTGCTTCAGCAGCACACGTACTAAAAATACTGGTGGGAATGTTTACTCGTACTTTTAAGATCTAGCTTATGCCTTAATCTAAGGTCCTTATTTCTTCCACTATTTTTGTTTGGGTCACATCTGACTATGCTCACTCTTGGCAGGGCTGGGGACCATATGGAGTGCCAGGCATTGAACCTTGGCCAGCCAAGTGCAAGGCGAACCTACTGTACTCTCTCTCCAGCCTCCCACCCCCCCCCCCCCTTATTTCTATTTTAACAAAATCAGGAGAGTAATTTTAATGTGATATAATTTTTCAAACTTGGCAAACCATGATGATTTACTGCAATCAGTACATTAAATTAATTAAAAAAACATATCTAGAATTTTAAAATTAGCAAACCTGCAAGTTTTCCCAAAGGTCAATATTCATTCTTTCAAAAAGATTACTTAACAAAGTATATGATGTGTCTTTTGTGGGTGAGAGTAGCTTACTTTGAAGGTGTACTCCCAATATTTGTCAGCCCTTTTTCTCTGGACTCCTTTCAACATTATCTTCTCAATGTGTACAGCTGAAAGACAGAAAACACACTGACTTCTTCTACAGGGACTAGAGACATTTCAGTTACTGAATTTGACATGTGCTAAACGACTAAGCTATTTCTCTACATCATTATTATTGGTCTTAAATCATGAAGTAAAGCACAAAACCCAGAAGCAGAGCCAATGTGCCAACCATCCATAAACCCTTTTGTTCTGTGTCCATTCACCCACAGGCCAACAGCCAACTCGTTACAAGCACTCCACGGAGAAACAGAGAAAAAGCCAACAGGACACACAGGTCGTGAAGATTATTTTTCCAGATGATAACCTTCAAAAGTATTTGTTACGCAGATTCCACCAAACACCACACTTAGGTTCTCTCCATTATTTAAGTGTAATGGTAGTTATACACTAAAAAGATGTTTATACTTTTACTTGCTTAAGCCCTCAAAAATGAAACTGATAATGTCTTTCCAACTGGGAATTTAAAAACTGCTTCTCAAATATGACTCTAATATCTTAAAAGGCAACTACAAATTTAACAAACTATGAAATTTCAGGCAACCTATTTTTTCACAAATTATACATGTAAAACCATGGCCATGAATTACATTAAGAACAGTTACTACGAACTGAAATAGATAAGACAATCAACTTATTCATGATGTAAGCAACCATACAAAGTCCCTGAACTACTCATCTTACACATCCCTTAAGGAAAATATCACATTAGGAAGTAAATCTCTTTACACAGTGAAAAAGTCTGCCTACCAAGCATGACATAAGGATTTGAGGGGGAGAGGGGAAGACTATTGCTCCGGGTATGAGTAGAAGAAAAAGGACTTAAAAATGAGGGAGGAAATATCAGAGGCTGGTGGCAATGAAGATGATAAAGTCGCAGGGAAAAAGTTAGGAAAGTGACTTAGTGGATGAGGGTCACTTGGATTTGGGGAACAGGAGAGGGAGTAAGAGGGAAGGATTCACTCTGCTTTAGAGAGAGAAGTTAAAATACATGAATCAGGGTACACAAAGGAACAAAAATACACAGAGAGAAATAAGATTTTATAGATCACGGAAGGTGGGCAATGAGATGCACCAAGCTTAAGACACAGAAACTCTGCCTGGAGTCCTAATGAACTAGGAGAAACCATTCCCATATGTTGTGCCGACTTGACAAATAACGCTGTGTTTGCTGACCTGCTTCTGGGCCAGCTTCCTCTAAGCTGGTGAGAAACACTGAGGATGGGAAGGAAAGAAAGCCAAGAAAGAAGCCTGGAATTCCTAAAGCTGCGGCATTTGATAAAGGCCAATGTAGGAAAGAGTGGGAGATCTCACTGTTCTCAAATGTTTTTCCATGACTGATTGATTTAGGTTATTGGGCCACGCCCAGCTGTACTTGGGGCTTTTTCCTAGCCCTGTGCTCAGGGATCACTCCTGGCAGGACTGGGGTGGGAGGGTTCATTCATGGTGCTGGGTATGGAACCAGGGCTGGCCATTTGCAAGGCAACAGCCCTACTCATTTTGCTGTTTCTCTGGCCCTCTCTCCTTCTTCAAGGACAGTGCTATGAAATAAAGAAAACTCCTGATCTAATCTATGTTCAGAAACAAAAAGGAGCTCTACCTCTGCAAACGGCTGGGGTAGGAATGGGGTACTCGGGGATGGCCCTCTTCTGCCTTGATTTCCAAGGTTACCTGCCGTGATCTATCAGAATTAGGATGAGGACGACAAAATAAATAAATAAATAAAAAGATGTGGAGAGAAATGACTGGTAATGGGGCACCCTTCAATGCTCATAATCTGAAGCTGTGATCAGCATGTATTACACTCTTAAAAACTTAGGTCCACTTAAAAAAAACCAAAACAAGAATACCACCATAAAATTAACTATAAGCATTCTGATGTAGTCTTATTTTTCTATAATACTTTTTCTTTGCTGTGCCAGGAATTGAAACCAGATTCCTACACATGCTAGGCAGGTACGCTACCACCAAGGTATACACGTTCCCAGCCCCTAAAATAGTTTATTTTACATGAAAGAATCTTCACTGAAAAACCAAACTCTCCTTTAAATTATCAGCAAATTCGGGAAGCCTGAGGTCTATATATGATTCGAGCCCTTTAGTAGGACAGAGGGAGTCCTGTGATGACCTTGAATGTGAGCAGCAATTATTAGGTAAATATTTAACAATAAACATCCATTTTTGTTTTTCCTCTGAGGAAAATGTGTTACGCAAATGGATTATTCCTATTATAGTGTTAGGACTGACAGTGGCACTTAATGTATATTTTCATTTTCCAGTTCTGTGGTCCAATTGCGTTTCTCTCAACACAGGCCAATGGGCTCCCCAGATGCAAAGAGAAGAAACTACACGAACTCACTTCCTCCTGATTGTGGTGTCCATTCAGCCTCCCTGAAAGTATTACTGCAGGAAGCATGGACACAGTGTGAGAGAAATTGCTTCAGTCCATTTTTCCAGTAGATTCTGAAACATTCTACAGAATGGTACCCTGGGAAAAAGTTATGGCCTTTGCCCTGCAGGAGTCCACCACCGGACTCAAGACCACTGACCACACGGCAGAACTGAGAGCGTAAGCGAGGACAGGCAGTGCTGGGACAGAAGCCAGACCCAGACCCAGAACGGAAGGAACCAGCCTGAGCTTAATATAGAACTAAGAGGATAATTCTTGGAGCGACCGGGGGAGGATGCACTGGGCTGTACCCAGCGGTGGGTAGGGGCTTTCCTGGCAGAGTTTGGAGGTCCCCTGGCAGTGTCTGAAGGACCATGGGAGACTGGAGATCAAACTAGCAGGGCATGAGCTCCGACCCTTTGAGCCACCTCCCCAGCCAAGGCCCAGGAGGATTCTGGGCCTCCACAAGGGAGACGAGTTCGAGTTAACCAGGGTACAGACAACATTCCGCACTCTTCCCAGCAGAGAAGCGTTTGACTGATCAGAAAAGCAGAACCTACCTTCTCGCTGAGTTCTATGAGGTGCCACAGTAAGTCCGCCATGAGGTATTGGGGCTTGTTCTATTAAACTGACCTCGGTGTTTTGCATGTAATCACCGTGAGCAGAGTCATTCTGGGTAAGAAAGAGGGCTGTGCATTAATCTACACCGTAGGCTAAGAAAAGCAAATCTCATAAAAATAAACCAGATTAAAAAATTAAAAAAACCCAAACAGATTAAAGCCTAATACTTTTAATAACAATCTTAGTAGCAATTTTAGCTGTCAAAAGGTGATTTTCCATAAGCACAAAATGACGCAAACTTGAGAAGCACCGTGAAAAAGGGTAAGGACCAGTATTCGTTTGACTTTTAACAATAATATTCTATCAATTACTGACTGTCCCAATTTTCTTGGAACTGTAAGGTATATTTGACGAAATGCAATGCAGAAGACGCAGACTACTATTCTAAGTTATGTGCGAGGTCAATTAGTTAACAAAGGCAATCAGAAGCATAGAACATAGCTAACAGATGGTCCCTTCACACATGCTATGCCATGTTCCTCTGTACTTTTACATAAATCGCCAGGCCTTTTCTTACAGAAGTATCCTGGCTTCCCTCGGTCCTTCTCAATTTAACTGACTCTGCTCAGCCCTCGCCAGTAAACTGGCCTCAGCTGACTTCTGGGACACTCACAGAGTGCTCCAGAACCCCAGCACTGTAGAGCACACTGTCACTGCAACACGTGACACACTAGAGGTGAGCCAGAACACAGGCCACGTGCAACACAGTCCTGTTACCACCCAGCACCATTCCTTCATGCTCAAGGTCTCTGAACTACCCAAATGCCTCAGTAAAGAATCTGCAGTTTTACAGATATGCAGTAAGTCACATACATTTTTTAATTGTGTAAAGAAATGAAGCAAAGAGAAGATCCTCAACTCCTCAAATATCCCACTTTATCCTTATTTGCTTCAGATTTGGCAGGACAATGACTGTTGGTTGCTAGCTGACGGCTAACTATAGCATCACATTACTCCTGGGAGCTAGCTTTGTTCACCTTGTACTTTGTGTTTCTCTAGAAACCCAAGACTGTCCACACACAACCACTTACACGCCTCTTAAGTCGACTGAATACAACTCCTCCAACAGTCACCATGATTAATAGAGGAATTCTTCCAAAAACAGAAGCACATGCATCCAAACCCTGAACACATCAGCTCTCACTGCAAAAACGACATAAAATCACATTTGCCTAAGAGAAATTTCACTTATCAAAAAGATAACTACGATAAGCACCTCAAAATCCAAAACAAATAAACCACTCCATCCTACTAAGTACTGTTGGAAGTTTAGCTTAGCAGGCCAACTGTGTCATTCATTATTCGACACTGCACATACATGACACAGAAATTAAAAATCAGTATCTGCAGGGTCGGGAATATGGCTCCAGGAGTAGAGCACGTATGCAGCAGGCGCCAGGGTAAGTCCGATCCCTCGCACGGCCTGTCCCCTGGCACCACGGGGAGCTGCTCCGGGGGCCCAAAAGCTCTGCACCGGCGGGCCTGCACTCCCAGGAGTGGCACCACCATGTGGCCACTATTTCTAAATCTTTAAACAAAAATGAAAAGTATGCAAAATAAAACCTGTAACTTTTTACCAGGGAAATGCAAAGCAAAGATGGTTACTATTCATGATTTTTTTTATGGAAAAGAACGCAAAACGGGGAGTCCTGTGCAGAGCAGTCACTTCTGAAGAAAGCATGGCAGTTCCTCAAAAAGACAAATGGAATGAGAAGCCCAGGAATTCTTCTGGGTGTGCAAAAAAGGATTGAGAACAGGGACTCAAACAGACCATTTGTTCACAAATGTCACACTAGCCTTATTCTTGATAGCCAAAAAAGAAAAAACAGATGTCCAGTGATAAACAACTAAACACAATGAGGTATGATGCAACTAAATATTATTCAGCCATAAAAAGTAACAACATTCTGGGACTGGAGAGATGGTACAGGGTTAGGCAGCTGACTAGAGTTTAATCCAGTCTCCCAAGCCCCACCAGGAATTATCCCGGGGCACAGAGCCAGGAGTAAGCCGTGAGCATCACCAGGCGTGGCCCAGGAACAAACAAGTCACATCGGGTACGAGCCACAATAAGAACAAGTTTTGGGAATATTATACTGAGTAAAGTCAAGCACGAAAGGACATGCACTACCTGGGTCCACTCTCAGGGGGCACCTCAAAGAGTGGCTCCAGGGGGCGGGGGAGAGGGACGGCGAGCACTCCTTAAAGAGTGCTCAGTGTGCAATGAAAGAAAAGTTCTGGGATCCATTGACGGTGGTGGTGGTTATGTACAACTGCGAATGCACTAAACTGTACACCCAAAAAGGGTCAAAAACGCAAATCTCACGACATTACAAATCCTACAATAAAAATATTTAAATTTCATTATGCTGCTTCTGCAAATATAAAACAACTCTGAGAAAAGTTTTTGCTTCAAAATCACATTTTTAACATCCGAGTTATTACTTCAAGAACACAATTTAAGAACAAGATATAGGGGCTGGAGCGATAGTACAGCAGGTAGGGCGTTTGCCTTGCACGCGGCCGACGTGGGTTCAATCCCCGGCCCCACATATGGTCCCTCAGGCACCACCTGGAGTAATTCCTGAGTGCAGAGCCAGGAGTAACCCCTGAGCATCGCTGGGTATGACCCAAAAAGGAAAAAAAATTAAAAATAAGAAATATATTCTTTGTTATTTCTTGAGCCCTGAACATCAAGAGTTAAGTCAAGAGTAAGCCCTGAAGAACTGCCTGTGTGCCCACTCCGCTACCACACACCCACCAAATGACTAACCTACAGAGAACAATCGAGGACCTAACTTCATCGGCCCATAAAATACCTACAAGTTCTACTGCCCCCTTTTGCACCTACCAATGTTACAAACTCTTAAGATTTTGCAGTGTCAAGAATCAACCCGGGGTCATGGTCAAAGCAGCCACTTGCACGGTAACTTACCTCCTGCACGGTCTCTCAGCTCTGTTCAAAGAATCTCATCACACGTGGCAGGCTTTGTGTGCTACAAACAAGCCCCCAGCACCACCCAGCCAGTGTGGCCCCCAAACAAAACATTGTATCACGACATTTTAGCTAGAGAGATGAGAATTCTGAGTCCCACTGGCCCCAACAGGTGGGCACGGTGGTGAGTGCCCTGTCTCTCCTCTCCAGTCATCACAGCTGCTTTCGCCACCTTCTGTGGAAGGGTGCCACATGCTCAGAGAACGAGTCACTGCTTTAATGGGATTTACTGGAATTACATCCATTTTCTCAGGTCAGCTCAACTCCCATGAGAAAGCAAGTGACTACAGGCCAGAACTGGCATCTTCCAAAGACTCCCGCGGTGCCAGCCCAGTGAGAAGCAGACACTGCTTCTGGTCAGGAGTATGAAGGGGGTCGCTTTGTTTTGTGTTGGGGCCACAACTGGCCGTGCTCTGCGCTAACTCCCGGCTCTGCCCTCAGGGATCAGTCTGGGGAGGCCATGTGGGATATGCAGGATGAATCCCCAGTCAGCCCGGGCAAGACAAGCACCCTACCAGCTGCGCTTCCCATCCTAAGGCTACAAAATTCTGGCCAGGCCATGGCTCTGGGGTGTGTACTCCCCGCGCTCCCGTCGGTAACTCATGCCTGGAAGCCCCCTCTAAGAGCGCCTGGTCTGCTGAAACTCTCACGTAACGTAAGGGACTTGCACATCCCCTTCGTTCTAGAGATGCTCCACCGGAAGTTTTACGCACGAAGCCCAACAGCACTTCGTAGCTGAGTCTCGGCAGGCTGACAGTTCACACGAGGCCCCTCTCTACACACACGGAAGAAAAAGGCCAGCTGGGCTTCGCTTCACGTTCACAAAGTGAAACCGGTGAGTTTATTTTAGCTCATCTAATAATGTCCCGAATGTTTTCTCTAATCCTTTGACAGAGATCGTAAATTCTAAAATGCCAAGTCAGCCTCTACTTTAAATTAAAGTCACAAAAAAATCAAGAGTCCAATATTTTTTACTGAATTTTTAACTGCCTGTTTTCCACTTAGAAAATGAAACTTAGAATATAGTAATAAACACTCTATGAAATAACATTCTATGAATGGGAAGATTTTTTTGGAGCAACACCCAGTGGTTCCAGGGCTTGCTCCTGACTCTGCTCAGGGATTGCTCCTGGTGGATCATCTTGGGTGCCAGGGATCAAACCAGGTCACCGTGCAAGGCAAACGCCCTACCCAAAAACCGTGATATCACTCTGACCCCCATTCTATGAAATTGTTATGAGCTAAGAGTAAGAACAGTCAAAAATCCTCTGATGCGGGGCTGGAGAGAAAGCACAGCGGGTAGGGCGTTTGCCTTGCACGCGGCCGACCCGGGTTCAATTCCCAGCATCCCATATGGTCCTCTGAGCACCGCCAGGAGTAACTCCTGAGTGCAGAGCCAGCAATAACCCCTGTGCATGGCCAAGTGTGACCCAAAAAGCAATAATTAATTAATTAATTAATTAATTAAAAATCTTCTGATGTTCTTCCCAATGAAAGGTAGGTCAGGGCTGACTTTAGAGTCTGGCCTGCCCAACAGAACGCGATGGAAGGGATGTTTGGGGACTGTGCAGGTCAGGTCCGAAGAAGCTGCAGCGCCTGGATCACTTGGAGTCCTGAGGCCTCACGTTTCTACAACACGCAGCTCAAGCATTTCCTGGGTCTCTGTTTCCCCACTGCAGTTCTAAACACCAGTTGTTAACATTAAAGCCCGAGCTTTCACCAACTGCTCTAGCAGGCTGTGCTAGGTGGCTCGAAGTCAACCTGTTTCCCGGTTGCAACCCACAGCCTGCAGAAGAGGTGTGGGATGGATAGAACATAAGAGAATGGATGAACGTAAGACAATTGAAAGCGGTGAGCCCTAAGCCTTCCCAGCCAGCAGATATCCTTCCTAGTGCCCTCGGCTTTACAACTCTACTCCACACAGTAGAGTCTGGGGATGGCAAGGATCGGTGGGAAAGGGGAGAGTTAGAGAGCAAGGATTCCTCGGTAAGAGGGCGCCCTGGGAGCAGAAGCTTGGAAACGACGGCGCTGCTGGGACTTCTGGCTCCTGTGGCAG